ATATATATATATATATATATATATATATATATATATATATATATATATATATAATCTTATTCCTAACAAAATCTTCTTATAATATAGTCACAAGAGGATTTTCCTGAAACTAAAAAGAAAATATACTAAGAACACAATATTCTTAGCTTTCTTAGGAGAATTTCGTCCTTTGTCTATAATACGAGCTTGGTGGTTGCGTCTTTCGTATCGCGCGTAAGAGGATATTCTGTTTCAAGTAAACATACTTTCTTAAGTGAATCAGTAAAAATGCTTCTGAGTAAATCAGTAAAAGGACTATTTCATCGATGATCAGTGAATATCTACTGATTTTCAATAGAAACTTTCTGTTTACTATTCTGTTTTACATTTTACTGATTTGGACCAGTGGAAGTAAGATTTCACTGCAAAATCTGTAATGCACAAATTTGTTATACGTTATACCAAATTTAACTTTCTGCATTTTTAATGTTAGCATTAACGGCTTACATGTAATGACACTATCTATATTTGCAAAGTGAAATAATATTAGTAATGTGAACAGTTGTAATAATGGGAACAGTTGTTATTATTAACTGATCTTTTCAGTGAGATTTTACATTGTTATACTTATAATTGTGAACGAATAATTATAAGTATAACACATTTAAATAAAAAATACACAGATTATACTTTAGAAAATATCCCTTCTTGATTCAAAAAGAAAATGTTAGAATATCTAGTAAATTTCTGATTAATAGTCTACTTTCCTCTACTATTAGAAAAGAAATACTTTCTCGGTGAAAGTTTTCGCTTAGAATATAGAATTATAGGCAATAGCATCTTTTGCAACAAAAGTTCTTTTTTTGACTATTGGAACATTTTTTTTAGGTTCGGAAGAATCCTCTTGAGGCCATATACGTAAAAGGATTCCGCTAAGGAAGAGATTACATTTTTTTGAACGTTGTAATATGCATATAATATATTTAAAAAAAGTAAGTTGATCTTATAATTCGAATCTATGAATAAGTCTATAAATTTAGAGACTACAGAAGACTTCAGCAGAGTAGTTATTTTTGACGCGAGAGCAGCTCAAACGCGTCAGGTGCTCAAACAATCCCGATCGTTATTTCTCGGACATTATGGGACGGGCTTGCGTTAGCTTTAGCTTGCATTAGATGATCAGCCAATATCACGAGCGGCCAATGCGCGAGCATACTATATAGCATATACTCATATAGCATACTATATATCGAACTATACTCGGCACTCCCACGGGAGCGGCTTGATGCCGTTGTTCCCGTCGGCGGAGGAACATCGTAGAACATCCTGATGGATTCGTCTCGCGACGTCGACTCTCGCATCGCCAAGAGCTTTTTTGCACCTCCGTTGCAGACACACGTTACGAGTTACGGGTGTAGCACGATGCATATTATATAACGCGCATCCGTACACACACATGTACGCATGGACGTACAGCTATAATGTAACACTGACACTTACTTTGCGGCGAGGTTTACGGCGTGCCAGACCATGGGAGCCACGACGCAGGATCTCGGAGACGCTGCGACGAAAATTACGCGTCATGAAGCAATATACCACGGGATTCAGGGCGCTGTTTGCGTGTCCCAGGAACAAGCAGTACGAGAGTGCGTCTGTTATTGATTTCCCTTCTTCTGCGAACAATTGCCGATGGTCTCTTTATCTAAAGTATCCTCTGAAGCCGTGCAGGGAATTCATTAAAATTAATTAAACGCGCCGAACTATATGACATCGATATGAAAACGAATCCCTACATATACGCACACACACACATACATATATATCTCGCGCTACCACAGATGGTCGTTTGAAGCGAGGGTGAAGTCGTGGTGCGAAATGCGTCGCGGAGGAATTTATAATGAATGCGAATTAGCGGTCATTCTGCACGACTGAAGGCTGCAAATCCCGAAGGACATACGAATACATCAAGCTTGAATAAAGTCTTAAAGTTTACTAAGCTAAAACTCACTAGCTTTATAATCGTTCCTATTATATTTGAGTATAATATAGTATGATATGTCAAATGTCAATATGTCAAATGATATGTCGAAATGACAATAAAAAGTATTATACCGAGAAGGATGTCGATGATTATCTGAAAATAATATCTTGATATTCGGATTAATAAGCAGCAGATATGGTTATTTGTTAATTATTAAAATATTTATTAATGATCGAGTAAAATATATAATTAAACCAAAGTGCAACTGATATTCTCTCATAGCCAAGCAAATACCATTATTGCCAGGATACTGTAAATAAATATTCTGTCTCTATTATGTACTCTGGTATGGAATAAATTGTTGGCATTGTTAACACTATAAAGCTCTAATTACTAATTATTGAGTGTGTATCAGGAAATTACTGCACGTGATAGCACAAACGAACGTAATGTGACTATCATAGATTGTAACTGAAATTTATTATAACGCTAATATTCGGTTTCTCATATTTAGGTATTCGCGTTCTCGAAATAAATCTACGTTAATACAACATTTGTTTCTTTCTTTTCACTTAACATGTTTGCTAACACGGTTTATTTAGAGGACTCTCTCCACACAACCCCTTGTATCTCTTTGTTATATAATTGTGTAATAAGATAGACATAGTTTGATAATGTGGATATGGGAACAAAAAATTTTGTTGTCACACAAACGCTACTTTCTCACGAAAGATCGTTGCGTTCCACCTATGACGTTGGTAGGGAAGGTGTTAACAGTAACTATAGAATCAGTCGATGTGTATGCTCGGTCGCAAAATGGTCTGTACACTTTTTATCGAATGAACTTGCAACGCATCGAGTTGTCACAATTGATAGCCATTACTGATGTGCGTTCTGATGTGTATACGCAGTAATTGGTTATGACAGGAGCCGAAGTGGTAGTACAGGATGTGACAATAAATTTGGAAAGAAGAATTTATATTTTGAAGTAAGAGAGAACAATATCGAATAAGGTAAAACAACAAAAATTATTTTGCAACAATTTTTATATATTTTATAGAGTACGATAACGTAACGATGTGTTAAATCGTCAGCAGTTGTTATCAATTCTGACAACTCGGGGCGCTGCAAGTTCATTCAATAAAAAGAATACAAAACCATTTTGCAACCGAATATGCTTGCATCTCTCCCCGGATTATCATTGCATCGCTGCTCTTTTCTCGCACGCCTATATATTGCGAGTCAATTACCACGCGAGTGAATAATTAATCTGTCCCGCGTCGATACCTTTCACCGGCGATGTGTAAAATCTGATTGCGAACAGGATATTGCTGCGCGCAGAATAAAAGGTAGTAGTAGTAATCTCGCTCGCGCGAATCGTGTAGAGAGGATCATGATCGTGTAATAAACTGAAAACGGAAGACAACATTACAACGTCGTTCACGGAAGATCAAGCGCATCTGCAGTGCAACAAAGCACAAAGGAAGAAGAGTCTTCACGGCGTCGATTTTCATAAGAACGTTTGTACAGGAGCTTAAAGTAAGTAGCGTATTACGACAAGATAGAATCCCGATTTACTTCGCACACTTCACGGCACTGTTGCTCAGAATGTGAAGTGTGACAATCCGATAAATTGAAGGAATTTCCGAATTTAGATTAAACTCGAATCGGGATTCGATAAAATCTTTTCGAATTTTAAACCTTTCGGGGATACCGTCGTCCTACTTTATACCATTCATACGATTTAATTTGAAAATGTGACTTTAATTCACGACTGCATCGTGAATTTAATTGTCTATCTAATCTAATTGCCCGTATCATTCGCTTGCAATATAAAAATATTAGTATAAATAATATCAGTATAAAAATATCAGTATGAAAAATCAGTAAAAAATAGTGTAAAGAATCAGTATAAAATTTTAACTAAAAAAATATGTACTTTCACCCTTAAAGCGGAATCCTCTTATACACAACCTCAAAAGGATTTTTCTAAAGTTAAAAGAAAAATATCTTAAGTACAATGTTATTCCTCCTTATTAGAGAAAGAATACTGTCTTGGTAAAAGTTTTCCTTTAGAATATGAGTTTACAGGAAATGACCTTGCAATTAGACCCTTTTCTGTATCGGAATATTTTCCTCTTGATTTCAGGAGAATCCTCTTGAAGCCTTGACAAAAGAGAATTTCGCTAAGGAGGTTATACTTTCTTGAGTATTGTTTCAATATGTCAATATATATAATATATATGTTTCAATATGTCAATATGTTTCAATATGTCAATATATATATAAATTTTGTGGTCGCAAGAAATCATTTGTTTGCGGTGTAAATTTCGTACTTACGCTTTCCTGCAAATAAACTATATCGTAAGATGAATGTCAAGTTACATGGGATACTCCCATTTCGGAACTTGACATATCAAGTTGTTATTATTTTTCGCGTTATGAATTTCGGCTTACGTGTGGTGAAATAAGTCGATCTCGTGTATCTAAGCAACAGATATTACTGAATTATCGACGCTGTCGTACTGGGAGCCCCGCCAATTCGGGTAATTTTGAAGGTTTTATCAGGGGAACGTCTCTTTCACCTACTCAACACCTGCCAAAGTGACATATTCCCTTATATCGGCTCGTTAACTCGATAAAGTTCCCACTAACTAGTCCAGAAAATCCAATCTCGTTCCATTCCTATTCTCTTTATTGCGCTTCGCACAATCGATAGTTACGCCAGTGAAGGACGCGTTTGCTCGTTAAACTCGCATTGAAAACACAAAATTGATAATTTATTGTATAGAAGTGGCAAATGTGGCCAAGGTGCGCGGAAATGTAAAAGAGAAAAGAACGAATATGTCGTGGATGACAATCGATGACGAATGATTGTGAATTATTACACGGATCACACGCATACAGGCCGACACAATAGCTTGACATGTAAATGTATTAGTTATGTATGTTATTAGGATTTTCCAATCGTAGATATTATTATTGATTTATTATTTATTGATTTTAGAAAGAAAAGTAGAAACGATGTGTCAAACGATGTAGCAATCTATCACTGTAACAGCTTTACATTATGTTCAGAAACAAATGGAAATAAATGGAGAACGATAACGCGAAATTTCTAAATACTCGAAAACTCGGCTACTCTCAAATTAGATCTCTCAACTAGAATGCCTTTTTTTTCGATTTTAATGGAACTCAGGGAAAAGTAGTTGTATTCTAAAAGGAATATTTTGTGATTCCGTTTCAACCGTCTTGTTTCACGATAAATGCATAAACAAAGCGTTTTGTGAACCTACCCCTATTGCGAACCGGTTCTTTGTACGTACTATTAAAACCTAGCACAATATTTTGAGCGCGCGTAATTGACATGGATATCAAAGGAATCCAAGCCAGTAGGCTTACTTCGTAACTTTTAACGACAGTGTTGTTATCGTTGCGTTGTCGTTCCTTAGATATAATATATGATAGAAAAGCTACGCAGTGGCAATACTGCGATAACGATTTTGTCGTTAAAAGTTACAGAACAAGCGCACAGGAATCGTGGTATACACGAGAATAAAGATACAACAAAAGTATGAAACGTACGGATAAAAAATACACAAAATATTTTAGATTTCAGCAACGTTCTCACAAAATACTCACCAATTGCGCCGAGATCGACTAGCAATCTAAGCACGTTGTAAGGTAGCCAACATAGGGCGAAGAGCACAGCAAGGAGCAGCAATATCCAAGCGATTCGTCTCCTCTCACGTACCAGTCTAAAGCTCTACAGGACAGAAAGCAGAGGCGTGTCTATTGAATTTAGATTGGAATTAATTGTACGCTTAATGGATCCCGCCAAAATTAGCATAGATAGGTTTCGAGCTATTTATGGGAACGAAACGAGAGTTGATCGACCGGCAAGTCAATCGATTTCGAATTTTATCGAGCGAACACGGTGACATTTCTCGAAACGGCACGACGAATCTGCGATTAGTTCCATCGCGGCACCAAGTCACTGTTGAAGTGTTTCGAAACGTTATCCACCCCTCTCTCTCTTTTTTCTTTCACTCTCGCGTGCACGCGTGTCATTCGGTCGGGATAGTTTTGCGCGAAACAAAGGTCGTTTCGCGCTTCGAAATTGCGTTGTTGGGTGTTATTTACAGGAGAGTGGGTCACCAGCTCATGGGAGTACTCGAGGATATACACGTATATTCTTCGGGACGCGTATCTCGTCGCGGAAATTGCACGATGGCGTCATTCGGTGGAGCAATCGTACGGCACAATTTCACAAAGTTCGTAGCGCATTTCGTCGCGGTTTATTTGTAACTAATTTATCGCGTAGTTGCACCATTGGCGCGTGAGCACGCGCACTGCGGAACCATGAGGATGGAATTGAAAGTGGTGGCGCGTGTAAAACTGCAAAGGGTGAATTTGTTACGTAGTCTTCTCCTCCTCTTCCTCCTCCTCCTCCTCCTTCGCCTCCTCGTCATCATCTGCCACGTGGGGTTGTTGTGTATAATTCGACGCGGCGGGATGAATCATAGCCCATAAGCCAAATTACAAATTGCTCTCATCATTCTTGCGTTACGCTGTTTCATTAAGGAGGTCAAAGCGGAGCGGTAAGACAAGGGGAAGCATCCCGAATCGAGGATGCATGATTACGCTTCTAATTTTAATCGACTTCGCACGATGTGCTTACGGCGCTCCAACATTTTCATCATAAAATTGTAAACGAAACTCGATTTTCAACGGAGATTAACGCAGGTGCCGTTTCGATGTTTCCAGTGGTGTTTTCATCGTCACACAATTATAATCGCTATATAGGAGGAACAAACGCGATTCATTTGTCGACGAGGGGAACGCGAGTGAGATCGAACATGAGAGAATAACACCGCAAATAGATGCCAAATTTCTGTCGACGAATTACTATTATTGGCTCGCCGTACTGGACGATTGGACAGACTTCAACAAACTGCTGCGGGATTTCTGCCATAAAGCATCTAGTGCGACGCGATTCAATTAGACTCATGAGACACATCCTTACGTGCTTTCGCGCTCGATCGTGTGAAATTGATTTATTGCGAACGTTTCTCGCGCACTGTTTTGTTTTTGTCGCGCTGCGGTGGTAACATCGATTCCGTCCCGGCGGTTACAAACGCGGTATACGATTGACATATTGCGCGCAAAAGAAGTAACAAATGAACGCGAACGCGGATAATGCGGCAGCGAAACATACTACATTACATGCATTCTCTCTCTCTCACTCTCCCCATGTTTCCGAGCGAATAAAGCAGTGCACAGAATGCCGTGTGCGAAACTATTAACAGTTTTAACCGCTACTAATGGACATCGCATGTTATACTGACGGCAATTCGATCTAACCTGCTGCGAGCTGGCGCTTCCCTCGACGCTGTCGCAGTCGAAGGGCGGTTTTCTGGAGCACAGGGTGCGACCCATCATTGAGTAGGCCAGTATCACGATGAAACCTAAATCCCCGGACACGCGACAAGAAGGAACCGAAAAAAAAGAAAAGAGAGACGTTGTAAAGGGCGGGAGGGCGACACGTAAACGAAGACAAATAGACTGGTCGGCCGTACGCTGGCGTGCGTAAGTAAGACGCGTAATTAACACGTTGGTGTAACTGTCAAGGCTGGAATTTGCCGTCGCATTAAGCCAACGTTCGCGTGCGTCCCGTCAAGATAGCGATTCTTTTACGGAGATATTGCGCGTCGCGATCAATAACAGACATCCGAGCCTGGAGAGAGTTACATCATTAAATTAGTTAATAGAGTTGCAGCTTTAAAAAAAGGAGAAAAGGACAGGCCAGTGAAAAAACGCGAGGAACAAAAGCATTGTTTATCGCCACAGCAGCACAGCCACCATGCGGTAGTTCGCTAAAGATATTTAGCGGCCACGTCACGCGCAGCCCTGTCACCAGTTCTGAATCAATCAGCGACGGATTCTCGTTGTGCCCGCCCTTCAACGTCCGATAAGGACGCATACTTTTTTCCAGGCACGACCGAAGCAAGTGAATTAGGTAGTAGTCAAGCGAACAGTGACAGGCGAATTTTTCTCCGAGATACGGCTTGAGATATTAAGAAATTCCTTCGAGATGCTATAGCAAAGGAAAAAAAATAGAAACGAAAGTAACGCAAGAGGTGTTCAAATATTTCGAACACCTGCAGCTCGCTAAATTAAAGGCAGCTCAAATCACGTGAGAATCCGGAAAATCTGATAAATGCCTCGTGTCGAGAGGGGACACGTGTCAAATTTAATCGCGAGTCTTCAGTTAATTTGCGAGCGAACGAGCGAGACAGGAAACGGCGACGTGACAATAGCAGGCCTGCTCTCTTTAGTTGAACTAAATTACACTTTTTATCTTTAGAATGAAATAAGTATATTACCTAGCGTGGAATGTAAAAAGAGCAAAAAATGCCAGTGCAACACTGCAGCTAAAAAGAACAGACCTAACGATACTACTGCAATATGCGATGAAGTTATCTCGTATTGACCGATTGTAACTTCACGGTGGACGAATCCTCATCTCGATACTGTCCTCGTGCCTGAAATTTGGCCAAAGCGACGTGGCTTGGCTCGTTTTTCACATAACGGGCGTATAAAGACCAGCCATCAATCGCGACCCCGTCATTAATCATACCAACTTACCCGGAACAGCGTAAACAAGGATAAAACACGCGGTACCGAAGAGATGCGGCCGGATACCCAAGGGCTTGAAGTCCTCCGAGCAGATGTAGAAGGCCGGCGGCATTCGTGATGTGCGCGTCCCATGCGAAAAGTTCCCTCTTATCGCCCAGGCTCCTTGGAAAGTGATGTTGTCGAGCTCTGTGTCCAAACTGTGAAGAGTCATCTGCAACGAAAGACCAAACAATAAATTCGCAATACCGCGGCCCACGCAAGCGAGAGAACGAGCGGACGGCGTGGCCCTTTGTGACCTTATATTTGATTTACCGTTTCGAGACGAAAAGTGATTTTTTTTCACGAAGCAAGTCCGCTCGCGATACAGTGAATCGAACAATGACTTCGTAAAAATTCAAGCGATTTTCGCCGATTATTTGTCCGCATTCCGGTATTAATACGTCGACGTCAGGTAACTGTATTACTTATTAGATCGCAAGTGTTGTGGATAGAAGAAGTATTTCGACATGAAAAAAACAAATAAAAACAATCTCTTTTGCTTGATGAGAATAGGGATCCATCCCAAAAAATGTAATTCAAAGAATTCCGTTATTTTTTAATTATAGAGAAACAGACAATTTCTATAAAAGGTTTCTACTCAATTAATTGTTCTCAATTATTGCAGCCAAATTTTAATACAGCTGAATGTTCAAACCAATGCTTTCGGTCGCCATTAACATAGCTATTATTTCAAGTCGTGGAATTTTTATCTGGTCTCCATTTAGTTACACGAACTCAGATTTTTTCATGTATGGTAGAAACGACAAAATATTATCAATAAAATAGACTAAATTGATTAAAATAGACTAAATTGATTAAAATAGACTAAATTTATTATTAAGAATGCAATAATTTGAAAAAATTAAAAACGGTGACTTTAAATTAGCTTTGACTGTCAACACGTCAAGGCGCTAAATAGACGACAAATTGATTGACATAGGCTTGCCAATGACCTCGCTCCAGACAACATGCACGTGACTAATTTAACTAATGGATTTACGGGGGTATGACCGATATCGGCTACTGTCCATTTCAATCTTCTCGAATTTGATACTAATTTTGGATAATTTTACTAGTGTGGCCCAGTGGACTCGGTGTTGACGCGCGTTCGATTCTTTAATTATCATCAGGAATATGGCTTCGTACAATTAAAAGAACAACTTAATTTGTCGTTATTAACGCAATATTTTTTTTTTGTTATTTCATCGCTGCACTTTATCATTGATATTTTACGTTTTCAATGTTCTAACAAAAACAACAGCGGTAATCGCCGAATTAATGATATATTTAGTCGCTTTAATTTTGCTCATTAAACAGCAGTAAAAATATTTTTACAGCACGTTTTTGTTATTTATTTATAGATTCGCTGAGTTATTTATTCCATTAGATACGCATGTAATTAATAAAGCGCTAATGTAAATCATCAAACGAATAGAGAGAAAAGAGGGAAGGAAGAGAGAAAGAGAGAGAGAGAGAAATGAGATAGCGATGGGGAAGGGTGTACTTATCGCACCCTTTTTAATAACAAGATAACTCTACGAACCTTTATAGTCTCCAAACAGATAGCACTTAATATCTTTTTGGACACATTACTGTTTAACAATCGACCCACTCAACCAGGTAATATCGCTACCACGTCTTCGCCCACGCGCGTGTCCTACTTGACACGTGTAACATTCGTCATCTTTAGGGATTTAGATCATTATTCTTGCTCGCTCCTCGTTTTCTCGATCGCACAAAGTACAAGTTATCGTTAAATCGGAAATAAATGGATTTACAGAAAAAGAAAGAAGAAGAACGGCAGGAAATGTATTCATGCGCGAACGCGCGGGAACGTCTCGCCACTTCAAACACTTTTAAACCAGACCAGACCGTCGAAGATTTCTGAGATTTTCCTCGATATTTTTCCTTTTCTAATCCGTATCTGCATATCGGTATGGCATAAAGCATTCCTCTCGCGCAAAAAGCAATCGATTTTAAGGTTCGCAGATAACTGTGAGAGAGCGAGAGAGCGCGCGATTCACCCTATTTACATTTGCAGCAACAGTACGCGCGCTTTATATTTGAACGATCGTCAGTCAATTGAAACGAATTGACGCGTGTACAATGAGCCACCGGTATATTGGTGGCGTGACTGTTACGGAAAAACGGATACGAGTACGAGCACGGACGGACGCAGCTTTATGCGAGAGGACAGTATTAATATGAATCGACCGGGTCACGGGGAAACTTCGACTTGCTCTGCGCGACGTCGAACCCCTGCGCGTACGTCGACATTTCCAATTCTGCAGTGTATGCATTTCCCCGCACGTTGGAATTAGTTTAATCTAAGCTCTATTTGCAAAGCACGCTGGGACCCCGGAACGCTTACTAATCCGTTATTTGCGTAACCGGGCACGATACACTTGGTTGTTCGGCTGCCGTGGCTCTCGAGAACATCCCGTGTAATCTCGCGAGTCTACGCCGAATTCTTCCACAGCGCCAGGCGATAAACAGCCTGATCCTTCAAAGTTACGGACATCGCTGAAGGTTTCCTTTGACCGCCGTTCAAACTTCCGCTTATGTATGCGTGTACGGGAAGAATGGAACGTACTTGCGCGAGAAGTTCGTTGTACATTTATATCAATCTTTATTGATGCATTATTTCGCCATAAAGCGCTGATGAGAACTATGCTGAACTACGAATACACATCTCTCGGGGATAACGGATACGTTCCTCTGGAGGTTTACATGTAGGAGGATAAATACGTCCCAACAGGATAATAATATATCGCCAGGCAAGCTTACGATTTCGTGCTGCTCCCGCAGGAATTGACATGCATCTTGATTCGTGGGCGCGCGTCCTTTATTTCGAAGATATGGATTCGTCTTAGGAATATCTCTTTGCGTAAGTTTCCTCGTAAATTCATGTTAGAATGCATGGTAGAATGCATAATGATGCTTGATTGCTTATCGACTTACATATATCCAATAGAGTTCCGCACACACCTGAGCGAAAATATCACAGCTAGACCTTCTATCTATCCGCCCACTCACTGGGATAGACAACTGTTTGCAATCTGCTCTTGGATATTGGACAAATATCAGTCGATTTTTTTCGGATTATATCGGATTATTGGAATAATATTCATAATCCTTTTATTATCTGACGATACTCATAGTCCGATCTTACTGTCGAAGGTCTTTGTTCCGAACTCTCTTTTAAAGGTAAAACTGCTTCTAAATGTGATTGAAACCACTCAGAAGGCTTGTGAGCCATATTTAGAGAAATTTTTATCGATAAGAGAAAGTTTAAAATGAAGAGCTAAATTTCATGAAGTTTTACTCAAAATGTATATAAGAAATTTTAAACAATCTTAAATGTAAAATCAGATCAGTGTTGGGCATCAATGGGTTGAAATTTTCTTTGACTAAAGTAATCGGCAAAACAATCATCCAAATTAACCATCATATATGTAGTCATAAATAATTTAATCAATTAATGAAATCAATTAACGACCAAACTGTGATTTGATTGATTGTACCTTGACTAATAATTAATATCGTCAATTGATTAATTATTCGTGATTACATATAGCGTTTAATTAATCTTAATTATTGATTGAACGATTATTTTGGTGAAGGAAAACTTCAGTCGACTAATATCCAACACTGGATCGGTCTATAAATATCATTGTTAGAATTAAAACCATAAATAGAATTAGATAGGTTCAGTTATTGTTCCAACGAACGTTCAGCAATATGAGTAGGTGGAATATAAGCGAAAATGCAGATGTGGGCGACATTGAATGTGTGACGCAAGAATAATTTAATTATATCTGCTTTAAAATTAGAATGGACACAAATCGAAGAACGGATTACATTTTTCTGATTCCTACGTCCAGCGAGTTTTATTCTTGCGGCATAACCTCGCGATATAACTTTTATTATTATATGTTAAATTTAATATTTTAATTTCTCTTTGTTATGTTTTAATTATAAGCAAACAACTTCGACTTCGAAACGAATCGTCGTGTAACGATGTAATTTCTACGCGTCTTCGAGCGAAGAATGTCCGCAGGCATGGCTACTCGATATACGTCCTTTGTGACGGACAGCGATACGTGCAACAATTAGTGTAGAGCTCAATATCGACGTCGACTCGGAATCAAGATTTACTCACCCCTTTGAGGACGGGCGCAAAGATACTCAGAGCCACTAGCCAGAGAGCGACGATAACGAGCACGGTGCTCTTGCGATTAAATACACGACGGAACGCCATAGGGCTCCTTATTGCCAGGTATCTGTCGATGCTCATCGCCGTTATGGTGAACACCGAGGCTGCAACGGCAACACCTGCAAACACCCATAATCCAGTCGGAATATATTTTTTAAATTCTTTGGAATCATATACTCACACACAAAACGAAAAAAAATTTACTCAAATGGATGGTGAAAATACTTAAGTGACCAGACGTCCCGATTTTTCACCCTTTGTCCCGAATTTTTTCGAGTGCTATTCGGGACACCGATTTGTCATCATTTTCAATGATTGTCAAATAATTTTCGGATCTTTTTTCCCCCCCCCCCCTCCTCGCCCCTCGCTTCACACATTTATGAAGTGTCCCGAATTCTGGGAAATCTAGTCACCTTAAAATACTACTACTCGGAATCAGATGAGTGAACGTTTAACTCAAGTTTAAAGTATGTTCTTAATCCATATGAGTAAATGTCTCAATCGATTAAAGTAAATTTATTTGTGTGTGACTATGGAATATACGTCAAATTTACTATTTAATTTTGAATAAAAATATTCATTCGATGGTATGGAGAACCATAGAGAATTCAGTCGGTATAAGTAAAAAGTTGCGTAAATTTGAATGACTCAAACTGTTATTCTAGTTTTTGAGTGGAATATTACTCGAAGAAATTTAGAAAGTAAATTTTGGACATCGTTCACTGAATTTATTTGATCACGGCAACATCCATGAATGCTTATTGATTTGATTCTATAATCAGCCGAATTGTGACACACAATTGCCGAATTGTGACACAGCCGAATTGCGAGATACAAGAATTTCTGCGTTCTTTCTGACCGAATTCAATTAATTTGAGTTTAAAATCTGCCGGAATATGCACAGAACGCTTATTTTCTGTCAAAGGCTCTTAATTCACGTTAAAATTTAAAAGCTTTGCATTTATCTTAATTATTCTTTCCTGCGATCCAGCGTTACTACAAATTACGAATAATTTCATAGTCCATCCCACGAGATATTTGTGAAATTACAGTTTGAGCAACAGACGTGCTGTGAGAAAAAGGTAAGCGACATCGTGTCTACGTTTTCTCGACGTATTTGCTTATTAAAAATTGCAAACAAACTTCATGTCACGTAACGAGCGATAAAGTAATGGAATAGCAGTAGAGTTTTCACATACGGATTATTAAAAAACTGCATGTACTTTTGATCAAGCTCATGGTAGTAGTGTTTGTATATTTTGATTTTCAAAGAGTCTCGTTATAACGAGACTGACTTGGCTATGCGCAAGTTATATTCACATGCATTACATCATTCCATGATGTTATTAAGAATATACCGCTTGAAACTGTTACTGCCTTCCATAAAAGAATTTTATCAACATGCCGGTGCGTGTGCAATACTGTGATCCTTTGGTCGAGAAATGTAAATTATTACAGAAAAACGCGCCTCGCACAGAAATGCTTCGATGGAACACGTGGATCGATTAAGCTTCTGCATTTTAAAATCTTTCTTTCTCTCTCTCTTTCTTTCCAAGATTAACATACACGCAAGAAAGTAAGGTCGCGCTTAATACAGTCAAATGCCAAATGTCAGGATGGTGTATCCATTGTTTCTACTTCTCATAACGGCATTTTTGTTTGCATTTGCGAATACGATTGAAGTGGGCAAAACTGATAAGCCCCATGGACATTTGGAGTTATCAGTCTTGTGTATTTCTTTTTTCTTTTGTGCTGAGAACACGTCCAGAATATAAAAAAATGAAAGAACTTTTTAGTTCTGATATCTGATAAGGACATTTTAAATTACGGTATATCTAGAAACATGATAATATAGAATTTATGTGATCACCATTTCTATGCGGTTAACATCCTTCCCGCATTATGCATAATGTATGCTGCGATACATTATTATTTCCATAATTTCAGTTATCGCACTTTCGCAGTTATCGTTAATAATGTGAAAGCTACTTTTATAGCGGAGACTTTCTGATGATTATCATCGTTTGTTTTTCTTTTCATCCCTGAAAGACAAGCACGCTTTCAGCGTGTATGCATGATAAAAACAATATCTCTCGACAGGTTAAAGTGGTAATGGTACACATCGTGCGCGTGCCATGTTGCGGATATCAGAATACAAGTAGTTAAAAGAATAAATGTGACACATGTAATCGCGTGTACATTGTCGAGGGTAAAAGGAGGACATACCAGAACGTATCATGAAAATTTACTTCGCGAGCTTTTTAACTAACTTCAAAAAAAGAAAGTTCTCAAGTTTGCGCTGTATGTATGTTTTTCTGTATATATATGTTTATCTATTTGTTTATATATAACTTATAATTCGTATATATGACTTATAATTCAAGGACTGTTAAAGATATAGAGATGGATTTTTTATAGCTTATTCACAGCATGTTATTTACTCAGAATTTGTCCAGTGACCTGGAAATACTTTCTTAGAGTCCAAGAACATTTAGAGATACAAACTTTTATTTTTAACTGACTTAAAAATAACTTTTTTAATAATAACAAACCTTTTCAACAAAAATCAACCACCATAAAAACCTCAAAAGCTCTGGAAGGTATGAAATAATTTTGGCTCAATAATCTTTTATGTACCTACAATTCTATCTTAACATTCTAACGATATTAGAAATTGGTACGGGAAAAGACAAATTATATAGATAATAAACTACATATATAACTGTAGGGAAGTAAATAATAAAAAAAAATATGATTCAATAGAAAAGGTATGACTCAATAAAAAAGTCAGGTTTTCATGTCGACTTCTAATATCGTTAAAACATTAGAATAGAATTGAGAAGAAAATATAATATCAAAATTATTTCATACTTTTTAAGATTTTTGAAATTTTTAAAGACGTTTTTATATAAAGAAATGTTTTTTCTATTACTATAATTAGTATATTATTACGCTCCACTAAATTGTCTAAACAATTGCATTTAAATTAGGGGATAATACTTCGAGTGAGTGAGCAAAAACTTCAAGTCTTGAAGAAAAATACCTGCGAATGATTTAGAGAAATGTAAACATGCATAACTTGTTCGCACGCTTCATTGGAGCGCAAGAGCCAAAGATGAGAGTGGGATTCTTTTTAGGTGAAAATAACGTCAGTTTTTTCTATAGGATGCTGAACGCGCACGAGCACCAGCGAACGGTATTAAAATCGATTATTCTGCAAAACAAGAACCCATTACCGCCGTAGAACGACGCATAATCGAGTTGCTTACGTAGATCGCCGGACTGTCTGATAAACGTTCGACAAGGTAATCGCGGCGGATCGATCGAAGTTATAAACGATAAAATTCCTCATCGGCGATGTGGGCTTTTCATCGACTAGTTGTTTTTCCTCTTTTTTCTCTCTTTTTATTGCCGTTGCGCAGTACGCGACACCGTATCATGAGTAGCAGTTTGTTTGTTATTTACAGATTCACGTGTAAAAAAATACGTTGTGAAATATGAAAGTGACGTTACTGCAGACAGAGATAACGCGTAATTGCAGCAAGCGGTGAAAAAGTGGGAAATATGAAAGTTCTTTTTTTATATATAGAAGTGAAACGATGAAAATATCGGATAAAACACGATAAAATGCGTGCATGACGATACAATGAGAGATTCGAGTCACGTTATCGTGCATAAATGAGAGAGTGATCGATTTCGAGAAGCTTTCCTACTTATTAGATTTGGTTTCCGGGTTTGAGCCGCGTGGATTTTTCTTTGTTTGATTTCGACGTTTCGCGAACAAAGAAACATCCACGCGGCTCAAATCCGGAAACCAAACCTAATATGCATGGACACCGCGAAAGCCTAAAATATCAAAGCTTTCCTACTGTAGAATCTTTCCTTTACTGAAAATACTTACCCTGTAGATAAGAAGAGAGTTTGCACATGAGTTCACCGTGACTCCACACGATCGACTTTGCTTGACTGACGGCCACCGGCATGCATATTATGGTAACCAGCAAATCGGCGACGGAGAGATTCACCACGAAATAATTGGTTACACTGCAAAAGAGAAAGAAAAAAAATTAATTTAATCGCAATGCACATTTCTAAGCACGTCAGAATCTCTCGAACTCGCGCACAGATAATATCTCCAATTTTTGCGAAATATCGAAATCGTCATAAATTTAAACGAAGCAAATTCAATGATTAAATCGCCAGCTAATACGTCCAATTTTATCGTGATAATATCTCGTGTCGAGTGTAAAACTGTTTATTTTACTGCTTATTTTACTGTTTATTTTATATGCATTCACGTATATATTCATAGAAATTTTCGTTTTATAATTTCTTTGTAAAAATATTACGTGAGCAACGGCCAACGTGATGATCAATAAATCAACAAGGAGTTTTCTTACGAGATCGGTTACGTCCTCAAAAAATAAATTTTGTTCACTCCTCTTTTTTATATAGGGTGTCCCAGAACAATTTCGAAGCTCTCGTGGAGGTCTAGTACGAATTGAAGTGAACATAAAAGTCCTATATCGTTTTGTGATTATCGCAATAATTATTAATTAAAAAAGATTTGTGAATAATCACGCGAGATAGATGGTAGATGAGCTGTAATGGCGACGTTTGCCATCATGTGCTTGTACATTAGATCAAACTGAACAAAAAAGTCCTCTACCATTTTTTTAATAATTTTGTAGGTTTTTAATTATTAATTAAAGAAGATTGGCAGATAATGTTGCTCGTAATAATATAATAATATATTAATATTATCTAATTAATTAAGAATGTATTATATAATCTTTGAAAAAATCATTAAAAATTAGAAACACGCTAATATTTCTATTCTTCGTTTAAAAATATATAGTAAATATACGTATAATTGAACAACATATTTTATTTTATTTTATCATATTTTTCTAGTTCATTAATTTTATTTTATATTATTTCTAACTATTTTAAACTTTTACTTCTAAATCACAATAAAACTTTGCATATAATTTATGCAAGTTGCGTTAAATATTGAATATTTAAAGTACATGCGTATAAGAATAAATATTTTCTCATTATTTTTAATTTTCTTTTTTTTTACTAAAGATCATCATATATTTATATAAGCATTATTTAAAATGTTTCAAAATAGCAAATAGTTATCAAATAACATATTAATGAAATATTATTAACATTAGAGACTTTCTTAATATAGAATTCTTAACTTAAATTCTCTCTCTTTTTCTCTCTCTTTCTTTCTTTCTCTCAAACGTCATTAAAACATTATTTGATGTTTATGATGTTGTGATTATCATGTTTTCTGGACTTATAGTACAAAATGGAATAAATTTTAATCCAGAATTTGAATGAATGTCAAATTGTCTACGATCATATTGCGTCTTTTAAACGCAATATAGATTAATCTCCAATTCATACAACATTTTTTCATTATTTTTGAGATATAGGCAATACACCCTTAAGACTCGTTATTCCGCGACATTGCATTTCTCTCTCGCGATAATGCGGACCATTAATTTGTAGAAAGAAAGCGTACGAAGCACTGAGATTTTCATAATGAAGACGGAATAAGAGACAGGTATATCTTGTCCCAGGCTCCATGGGCGTCGATATTATTGACGTCAAGACCGAGAACAGTTCTTCGTTACACAGTGCAAGTACTTACTCATCGGTAAGTATTCAGATTCTCATCAGATGAACAAATATCATTATCAATCGGCAAAGTGTCGAGAGTGAAGCGTCATCTTTGGCGCACCTACGCTTTTGCTCTCTCTCTCTCTCTCTCTCTCTCTCTCTCTCTCTCTCTCTCTCTCTCTCCCTTCTCTCCTCTGTATCTTTCTCTGTTGTTACTAGTATGATTGTTATGTCAATTCGGTGACACAGTTTCTAAGAACTAGTTCAATTTCTTATGGCCACAGTGTCGGGACGAGAAGTTCGACGAAATGTTCAATATTTTCTATGAAAATTCCGCTTTTAACGATTACGTCTCATCGCTGAAGAAAAATGCTGATCTAGTTTACTTTGCTAATAACCAATTATACATTTAAAATGATATAAGACGATTAATAAGACTGTAGTAAACTCAAAAGAAGAAAGTTCCTTCGAGAGATAATAAAGAATACGAAAGAAAACGCTGGCAGTCATAATGACGCAATTAAGTCGGTTTGGGGACAAAAATTATTTCTTAAACATACTTCTTTCAGTATCATATAAATTCATCATATAAATTTTGTCTTTTTTTTAATAAAACGATGCTATATAAATCATTTCGCAATAACGATTATCTCTCCAACGGATATATACAGGGTGTCCGATAACTGATCGAGCAACCGCCGTGTACAGATAGAACGGATCAAAATAATCATAAAAGTTATATATTTTAAAATTTTTTCAATATTTATTTATTTTTAAATTTTCTCAATATTTATTCCGTAATTAATTAAAATGTAATAAGCGAATGAGCTCACGAGAAGCGGTAGGACAGGCTCTGTGCGTAAAAGAAATGGCTTACTTCTTAGCAACGATGAGTAAATAGATGATTTCGAGGCGGAGTAACGTATACGTGTTGTTTGTTACTCCGCCTCGAAATCAGTTGTTTACTCATCGTTGCTAAGAGGTAAGCCATTTCTTTTACACACAGAGCCTGTCCTACCGCTTCTCGTGAGCTCATTCGCTTATTACATTTTAATTAATTACGGAATAAATATTGAGAAAATTTCAAAATGGTATCTAACTTTTATGATTATTTTGACCCGTTCTACTCGTACACGGCGGTTGCTCGATTAGTTACCGGACACCCTGTATATATATATATATATATATTTTTTTAATAATTTGTTAACTTCTCTTGTAATTGGAACTAAACAAAAAATTTCTGTATTCTGTTTCTGAAAGAAGATTTTTTCCTTCCTGTCTATATTCAATAATAATAATAATAATAATAATATTCCCTGAAAAAATATTACGCTATATTACTCTCTTGCTTTGCTCGAGTCCGTAATCCTCGTCGAGTGAAATAATAACGGAGAAAAATTCGATAGCACGTTCAAAATATTATTTTCCGGGGCGGATTGACAAGCGAATTGATGTGAGCGAAGAGGTCGAAGAGTGGGTCACATATATGACAACTTTCGCGGTGGCTCATTGTGATCTTGCAACGGTGCCACGCGGTTCTTGTCAATGTGTACTTCGCGCGTGAGGGAGCGATAATTTCGGGATAAAAAATAATCAGATCCGCGCGCACGGCATCGCCACCGCCCACCCGGGTTGCGTTCATCCATTATGAACGGCTTCGCCAGTCGTTTATTTACACACTGCTGCACTGCGATCGGAAATAAGCGGTCTGCGGGGTGTATATGTGCAGCCACGCTCCTTCGCAAAATGTCTAAGCAGTTACGTAGACTGCGCCAGAATACATTCTTCTTCGTTAAATACGATAGTTTGCGCCTTCCCCTTAATAATGGTGTTGGAGCCACGGCGAACTTCCTCGGCCAGAGGTATGCCCAGAGCGTCAGCAGTGCGCGGCCATGGCGTTAAATATTCGAGGATCCTTCGGCCAGACGATATATTCCTCCGGAATTTTTGCGGAATAACGAACGGAGAAGCGAAGCGAATCGAAAATGAGTTTCGCAGCGCGATCCTTTTGTGAAAATTTTAAAAGTAATCCCCCTGATCGTGTACACCCGTCGGTTCTCCTCTCAGGTTTCCCAGGTTTCTATCTTCGTCTCCGAATATCTGCAATGCTGCGCGAAGGCCTGCCTTTTGCGAGTTTTATCGCGGTATATAAATAGGTAAATAAATGGATATAAATGAAATGTGTGTACACACATATACGTAGTAAATTCATGATTTTCCATCTAGAATGACAGAAGAATATTTATTCACATTGGCTCAAATATGTTCGAAGCTATCACATGTGCAAAGAAAGAGAGAGAAAGAAGAAAAATGGAAAGTCAGAGAAATTCAACACGTGAGTTTTTCAAGTCCCACGTCTGGAGCGAGAAATATACGAATATGAAAAATTATGCTCCGACCAATTCCGCTCACTCTTGCGAAAGGACATTACGCGCCCCGCATATAGAGTGCGATGTAGTGCGTTTATTATGCGATCGTGATATACGGCACATCTATCCAATTAATGAGATATTTATAGTATAATGTGTCAACATAAACGCGCGCGTTCGCGGGATTTAAATTACGATTTTAATTCGAAGAAGAAATTGTATAGTCGTCGCGATTTGACGCAACAAAAGAGCGCGTTATCTGCATGTATTGTCAGATATTCATAAACAAATTATCAGTAGCGCACACGTTCCACGTGACTTTGTCAGACATGTTTACGTAGAAATAATTACGGTCTTGAGGCTTGTTCCGGTAAACATAAATGTCCCATGATAAACACGAATAAATTAACCGAAAATAACCGTTACGCGCAAATAATCGGAAGTCGATATTACAATCACCGCGGCGCATTTGATGGACAAATCGATAATCCGACACCGGAAAGTACCGTAAGGTGATAGTGAAGATAGCACGCAACGTTGGGCGTCAATCGATAAAAATTCGCTCTTTGACAGGAAATAAACAGGAAATCAATCATCAAAATTAATCAATCTCCGTATATATAATCACGCGAAATTTAACCGCGATTGGTGAAATTAATTATTTATCAGTATATATAATCAATAACATCAAAATTTGATGTGATATTATCGAACTAACCGTAGTTGCAAGATCCAACCCACATGAAATACAAACCACTTTCGAAAAAATAAAAATGAAAATTTGATACATAATTTAAAAAATACAGATAGCACTGAGATTTTCTCTTCGCAATCGTTTAAGAAGTCATGATTAAATTTTCTTATCTATCAGAAAATATTTAACCCTTAAACAAGCTTAACCCTTAAAAGTGAGTATAAAAAATGCAAATTAAAAAATTGTTATTAGTAGAAAATAAAAACTGTTTTTTAATTAGTTTTAACGTCCATAAGACTTGGATCTATCTTGTTTTATATGGAAAAACGTATTAACTACTAATTCGT